TTTATGCGAAAACAAGGGTGTGGGGTGGGACTGCGTGAATAGTGCAAGAGGACGCGGCAGGTTGTTAACTGCATTCCTTTCCTAGAATCTCGTCTAACAGGACCTCACATTGTCTACTTACCCTATAGTGTTCCTGCCTAAACCCAGAGAAGTGCAGTAGCGAAAACATGGCAATGAAAAGGAAAGTTTTAAGCATTGAAGAGAAAGTTAAAGTGATTCGTGAAATATTGTGTGTATTGTCAGTGAAAAGCGCTGTAATATGTCTTTGATATTACACATTTGGGCAATTTCACGTTAATGTTACGTTAGTCTGTACTTAACTAAGTATTTCACTAAAAAATGCAACATTTTAACTCGGTTTTTGGTAGATTTTTACATGACCAACATAAGGCTACTGTGGAAGTGCCCATTTCGGTTACGACATTTGTTTATAACGACACTATTTTTAGGTCCCTTTGATGACGTTATAACGAAGTTCTACTGTAGTTTGACGTACATCGAAAAGCACCTGAAGATGGCACTTTTGTGCTGAAACATGTAGTGCAAGAAAGAAGAGTAAGGTGAATAAGTGTATGCACTGTAAGACGGTTGGAATAAATCATGGACATGAATCAGTGCAATAGGACGCTAAAATATAACAATATTATGTCATGTTCGGTTATATATGCAACATGCTGGTGCACACTTTCAAAACTTTTTGTAACAAGATGTATCACAAACACCCTATTTTGAACATTTCTCATTTTAAAAAATCACAATACTATATATATGAGTTCCACCAAAATGGCCCTAGCCTTCAAATACAAAATGTTACCGACATTCCTAACACTGGGTTCTCATTTAAAAAATCACCCTGAAGCTATACATCGAATGCTAGGCTATACTAGAACAATAAGAGGTGGCAGATCAATCGTTAAGAAGTGGTTATCTCCATATTCCCAAGAAATTCCTAATTACCTGCCTCTCTGGTTATAGTATACATAGACTGAACACTGATAATAAAGCTATCCAGTGGAAACAATCTTGAGCAAACTGAAAGCAGTCTTATGGCCTACTTTTCTGCAACTCATTCTAATGCTGTGTCATCCAATTTGCCCCTTGGTATTCCAAGCAAATGCTTTCCCTTGATGCTTCCTGCCCAAACTTCTCCATGAAATTCTTGTCTATGCCATATGGGCTACACATCCAGCCTATTACAACCTTTTGAAACAGCACTATGTGAACTTTATACATAAAAACTATCCTCATTCTGCATCTTCCCCAATTTACTACCAATTCAGCCTTCCAACATCTGAATATCTGCATGCACTTTACTCTCAAACATTTACATTAGTTGAGCTCATCAAAAGGAAAAATGAATCTAGAAATAAGATTACTTTCCTAAATGTAATATCTTTGCTTTCAAATGTAAGCCCTTTACATTCTTGTTCCAGCACAAAGAGTAATATGGCAATATATTTACCATTTCTGGCTTTGATAACCATAAAAGCAGTTATTATATTACATATTGATTTTTCTGAGTGAAATGTTACCACTGTGGTAGACTCCTTGTCAATCAAAATGCTGTTCTTTGGCATGGCAGAGGGCAGGTGATCAAATGCTTGCTTGTATATGTACCTTGACTTCTCTTTCTTCAAAGTAAAAAATTTGAAACATTTCAAGGTATATGTCTGACCTGTGAAACAAATATCCAACTTTCATCTTTTCCTTCACCCACATTCCTGTGCAGGATGTTTACACATGTCTGAGATATAAACATCATATAGTACTAAGATTAAGGACTGAAGATTAATGATGGAACAATGAGTTCAAAATAAATTCTTATATCATTAAGAACTTTCTATCGAATTGTGTTATCTCATGGGAATAATATAAGAAGAAAAAACATTCTTTGAGCAATGACCGCAGCAGTAGATTAACACTAAAATACTTGAAGTTTGCCCATTGTAAACATTTTGGTTGTCAGATTGAGTGAAGTACAGGGAAAATTCCTCTTTCAGTAGAAATAACAAGATTTCCAATCCCCAAATCTGGTACATGCTAAAGAGTTCAGCAGTGATCAATTATGGCACAGAGTCACTAGTTGAATTTCTGGATTATATGTAGTATTTCTCTTGTATTCATTGTTTACTGACAGTTTATGAGGCTGCAGATTTATATGCATATGTATTTAGCGGAAATGTCATATCTCACCCACCCTTTCAATTTTTTATTTCTACCATCCTGTTTCATAGAATTCATACTATACAACCAGCCGCTGGAAGATGTGAACTTAACTTTCAGCATCTGAAAGGAAATCGCTTTCTGCAAATATACTGTCCCAGTATGTTATAATCGTATTAAAAATTCATTTAAATTTCCAAGAATGTAACTCTTATTGACCTTGTGTGCCTAAAATGCTTGTTTAGACTCCAGGAATGATCACTGTTTGTTTGTTAGCCTTGTAGTTGTCCATTTCTAAGAGGTTAATTTGATTAAACGATACAAACTCCGTCCCAAGTGCAAACAATATATATTTTATGTCTTTGATCTTGCTCTCTTCTGCACTACATGTTTCGGCCTCTAACGGCCATCATCACGTGTATACTCTTACGTTGCTGCCACACTGAACCCAGTCTAAAATTTAACATTTAAAAAACACATTGTTATTTTCTTCGTTATTATCAACATCTACCGCCTTGATATCTGTCTGGTATGTAGATTATTTTGCACACATCAATTTTGATTTTCCTGTAGTAGCACTATAAAATCTTTAGTTATAATTTTAAAATCATTTAAAATTTTCTCTAAATTTTAAAATTAAAATTTAGAGAACATTTTAAACGATTTTACAGGAAAATCAAAATTGACGTGTGCAAAATAATCTACATACCAGACAGATATCAACAAGGTAGATGTTGATAATAACGAAGAAAATAACAATGTGTTTTTTAAATGTTAAATTTTAGACTGGGTTCAGTGTGGCAGCAACGTAAGAGTATACACGTGATGATGGCCGTTAGAGGCCGAAACATGTAGTGCAGAAGAGAGCAAGATCAAAGACATAAAATATATATTGTTTGCACTTGGGACGGAGTTTGTATCGTTTAATCAAATTAACCTCTTAGAAATGGACAACTACAAGGCTNTTTGATTACCTTATCCCTAGGACTTGCAAAAATCAAAGTTTATAGTTTTCTCCAGGCAGTCATTCTTAATTTGTCATTTTGTAGTGTTAACATCAGACATAAACATATGAAGACACTTCAGATAATTCCTTGGCTAATCTCATCACCCTTTCATAAAATCTACACCCCTTAGACTCTTAGTTTATCAATACTTTGATATTCCAATAATATTATGAGAGTGCAATGATAATGGCATTATTATTTACGTTGTCTGTTGCACTTACTCCAGTGTGATTTCAGACAGTCTTCAGAAATGCGATTTCATATGAGATCATTTGAAACAAGTTGCTGAAATACCCTTCTGCATTAGGTCCCTGGCCAACACAAGTATAAAATGTTTACAACACACAGAAAACATGCAACAATAATCTGAAAACATATTACCTGCTGAAATATTACGCTTCAATATATCACACAGTTTTTCATGACGCATGGATCCATAAGCATCCAAGATGTCAGTCCGAACAAAATAAATTTTATGTCGATCATTTTGGTTCCAGCGGTCAAATAACGTGCACCACATTTTGTGTAACATGTCTGAAGCTGTAGGTTTAATACTGACAGGATTTAATGCTGCTACCTGGGTCAGGAATGTTAATGCTATTTCGATTGTACGTGAATTGTTGGGTCTGCAACAGTAATAAAAGCACTAGACCATTAACAATTTTCAAATTGGACAGCAAAAGCAAGATCACCTACCACAGCAAACATCCAGACCAGAAGACATGCACATATTTCATCCATGCTTGTATATTTATTCCTTGAAAATTAACATCTCAATAACTCAATACAAGAAAATAAATAAATACATAAATAAAAGCTAAACAAGAGTGTGGGCTCCACTGGGGCTGTATTAGCTGTGTTGAACATTCAGTTTCTGATTCAGAGATTTAAAGTGGAACCCCATTTAACATTCCTTAATTTAAGGTTTTCCCTCATTTAATATTCACGTTTAATGATCCCCAGTGTTCAGTTTTCTCTCTTTAACATTTTCCTCTCAGTTTAGTGTTCAAATCCCCAGTTCCCAAAATAAGCCTCAAATGAGGGCTTCACTTGAGTTAGTTAATTAATGGAAATATAGGCTACTATAATTGATTCATTCGTTTTTAAAACGTTATACTTTCCAAAGTAATGCATGTACAAATATGAATGATATAGAAAAAGAACCGTAAACTCACCAAGTTTGTATTACATGCACCAGTTGGCAGCACGAGTTCAGTGCCTTTACAAAATGGCAACAGAGCAAGAAAAGAGTTTTTGTTTGCTGGAATATGAGAGATGTTCGTCTGTTATAGCAGTGCAACGTGCATTCAAAAGAGAGTATGGAAAAGAACCGCCATGTAAACAAAGCATTTTGCGGTTGTATCGGCAATTTAAGGACACGCTCGATTGGGCATGTTGGTGAGGATGACGTAGCTCTGTTCACTTGGACCCCCAGATCACATGATCTAATGCCTTCTGACTTCTTCCTTTGGGGGTACATTAAGGATCATGTTTACGTACCCCCACTGCCAAGAACACTAGTAGAGCTGAGGAAACGCATCGATGCTGCAGTGACGACCATTGACAGGATGATGCTACAAAATGTGTGGAATGAGCTCGACTACCGCCTGGACGTGTGTCCTATGACTCAAGGGGCATACATAGAACATTTGTAGAGTGTGAAGAAAACTTGGTGAGTTTATGGTTCTTTTTATATATCAATCATATTTGTATGTGTAATGCTTTGGAAAATATAGCGTTTTAAAAACGAATGAATCATTTATAGTAGCCCTGTATATTGTGACATGTCAACCCGTTGTTGGGCGATGGGATGTGGAACAAGTTATTACGAAGACAGATTCTTGATGAACAGTCAGTTGCTAAATTATGCAACAGTGGAACAAGGTTATGCAACCCGCTTCTAAGTGCCAGCTAGTAAACAAGACTTCCGAGCAAGCGCAATGACGTTATACTGCAGTAGTGAGTAGGAGTCATGTGACCCACTCCCTCAGTTGACCGGAAGAGAATATCTGATGAGAAGGAGACAACCCTCCTCTTGTCAACCTGATCTTACCAGATCAGAGACCTCCCTTGGAGGAAACCAGGTCTGATAAAAGAAAAGGGGCTGTGGAAGAAGGTATTTAGGGGGACACCTTTCCCAGCATTACAGAATGAACACACAGCATACATACATACACACATGACATTTAGACATAAAGTACGATTCATTCAGATTAATCTACACCACAGCAAGGCTGCTATGGCAATTTTATGTTGACAACTTGCTGAGGGAAAAGCAGACATAGCACTTATTCAGGAACCTTGGATACATAGGGGCCAAATAAGAGGATTAACAAATTCAGGGGGAACGGTATATTCTGTCGTACCTGGACAAAATGTGAGATCATGCGTATATGTTAATAATCATATTAATGCTTTATCCTTGTTGGAGTTCTGTTCCAGAGACACAGCAACAGTGAGGATGACATACATATTGGGCCAAGGCTGTGAGGAGCTCATCGTCACTTCAGCCTACCTTCCATGACTCGGATGAACCACCACCTTCCAAAGAAGTGAGGGACATCATTGAATATTGCCATCTTAAGAAAAACCACCTCATCATTGGGTGTGACGCCAACGCGCACTATACATTGTGGGGGAGCACTGACATCAACCCAAGATGAGAATGCCTCATGGAATATTTGTTGAGTTCGAACCTTAGTATTCTAAACCAAGGTAACAAGCCTACCTTTTATAATCGTCCAATGCCGCCCTCCATTTATATTTTTTTTTATTTCTATTTAGTTATGAGTATTATAAAATAGTAGGTTACAGTAAGGAATAGTAGATGGACTTAGACCTGTTTATGTATTTAGGTGGTTAAACAATTAGTTTTAACGCACATGCAAGAGCCAGGCAGGAAGGCTCCCTGCTGAGAATCCTTGGATAGCTGGAATGACAGAAAGCGACCATGTTGAGAATTGTGAGGTGGCAAGCGTGACGGGTCGTAAGTTTAAGAAAGGGAAGGGTGTGTATTCGCTTTCTGACGCTTAGCCCAGAATACATCATTTTTGACAGCAAAGACGTTGGAGCAAATTTGGCTAAGTGTGGAGAAAGCTGACAGCCCATTGGAAATCTAGGAAGTTATGTAAACTCCCTTAGTTTAAATTGACCAATGAAGGCAAGATAAGATGTTTCTTGAATTCAGGAGAGCGGGAACCAAAGGGGACGCTATCCAGAGCGTCGGTTTTTGAAAGTCAGTCGTTTACGATTCGTTGGTGTGCACGGACGTAAACTGAACGGTTATAAAGGAAATGGTGCCACAATAAACAAGAATAATATTGTACGTGTGCATTTGCAGCTTCCCTGTGCTCTTCTGAGTTAAGGTCCTTTATTCGATCCTGAGGATAGAACTCCTTGCCCTACCTACTGGCTAGCATAAAAAAAAAAAAAAAAAAGAACCCTGAGAAATTAAAGAGTGCTACGATAACAAAGAGAAGACGAGCGAAGCTGCAACAGGTAAGGTAACGCTGGAAGTTGCATCGCATCGCACAACAAGACGGAAACAGGTGAGAGAAGAAAGGGACGGGCATAAATTGTGGTCTGCAATAGGCTGGTTATTGACTTGACACTAGGGAGCATTAAAATAGGAAACCTGATAAGTAATTGGCATGTATCTGATGAGCCGTCCTTACTGGATCACAGGTATATATGCTTTCAAATAAGCAACATTACAGCAGATCAAGCTACTTATATGAATCCTAAGGGAACCAACTGAGAGTCTTATAAAGATGACTTAAAGGTAAATCTGGAGACCATCTCGCAAAAAATACGCACAATAAAGGATGTTGATCAGTCCATTGACCTCGTATTGGAATTGTCTGGCTAGGACCACTCGTGAATGAAGGAGAGTGCCTTGGTGGAGTAAACAGCTGAGTGGGCTTAGAACCAAAACGAGAAGGCTGTTTAATATAGCTAAAAGAACAGGGCAGTGGGACACCTACAAGGAAGCCCTTACCTGTTACAACAAAGAAATAAGGAAAGCCAAGCGATCCTCATGGAGGAGGCACTGCCAGGAGATCAATGATGTACCAGGGGGTACCAGACTCATGAGAATTATGGCAAAACAGGCGACCAATAAGGTCAGCATGATTAAGCTGCCTAACGGGCAGTATACTCAAACAGGAAGGGAGACACTGAACAAATTATTCTTGGACGATGAACAGGACCAGCAGAACCTGGGCACTTGAATAGCAGAATGAACAGGGCAGACTGGAACCTGGCCAAAGTCATAATTAACCAATCAAAAGTCAGATGGGCACTGAATACCTTTAGACCATTTAAGTCAGCGGGAACAGATGGAATTGTATTGGTATTTTTGCAGCATGGGGCTGTGCACCTGTGCTGCATATATAGAGCCTGCATGCCATATGGTTTTATCCACATGGCCTGGAGGCAAGTTAAGGTGACGTTTATCCCAAAGCCCGGGAAACCTGGTTACACTGAGGCTAAGGCTTATTGTCCTATCAGCCTGTCGTCTTTCCTTTTGAAAATGATGGAGAAAATAGTGGATAGACATATCAGGGACGGGGTGTTGAGGACATATCCTGTACACCAAAACCAGCATGCCAACCAAACAGGTAAATCTACTGAAACCACACTACACAATGTGGTAACACGCATAGAAAGTGCGATCGAACACAAGGATATTGCCTTAGGAGCATTCCTTGACACAGAGGGAGCTTTCGATAGAACCTCATTTGATATAATCAAACAGGCTGCTGGAAAGCATGGCAAAGAGCCTGCAATATGCAGATGGATCAATGCTATGCTGGAAAGCAGAACCATAGCTGCGACATTATTAGGAGAAACCCTGGGGGCATCCGCGTCTAGGGGGTGTCTGCAGGGAGGCGTGCTCTTGCCTCTGCTGTGGGGCCCAGTCTTCAACAATCTCCTGTAGGGACTTAATGATGATGGGTATTACACAGTAGGATATGCTGATGATATAGCAATCCTTATAAATGGAAAATTGCTTTTGACCGTATCAGAGTGTTTTCAAACAGCTCTGTACACGGTCCAACGATTGTGTGAAAGAACAAGCCTTTCCTTCAATCCTAATAAGACGGTAATTATACTGTTTACCAGGAAGAGAAATATAAAGGGCCTTAGGGAACCGACCCTTTTCAATAAATTGATCCAGCTCTCCAGTGATGTCGAGTACCTTGGTCTAGTATTAGACAAGGGACTGATATGGAAAAAGCAGCTGGACAAGGTCATCAATAAAGCCTATAAGGCTTTTTCGATGTGCAGAAGCATGTTTGGTAAAACTTGCGGACTGCAGCCGCATGTTGTGCATTGGATATACACTGCGGTTGTAAGACCCATAATTATATACAGTGCCACAGTATGGTGGCCTAGAGTTAAACTCAAGACAAGCAAGGCAGAACTTAACAAATTGCAAAGTTGGCTTGCTTGGGTATCACAGGAGCAATTCGAACGTCAACAGCTGCACTGGAGATACTCCTTGGACTCCGCCCCACTGCATCTACAGTTGGAGGCAGAGGCCAGGGCAGGAATCTACCGTCTCCAATGCAGTGATCAATGGAAACCTAGAGCCGATAGTTTCGGACATGCACACATAACTCAGGACATGAAAAAAGAACCCATATTACAAATGGGGTCTGACAAAATGATACTGAGAGGTGTATATGAAAAACCCTTCACAGTCAGATTTCCTGACAGGAGTGAATGGGAAGACGGGTTTTGGCCCAATAGAAAAGCAGGACTGATCTGGTATACAGATGATTCCAAGATAAATAAGAGCACTGGAGCTGGTGGCTACTGCTATGGCACGAGGCGGAAACTTAGTTTCAGCCTTGGACAGTACATGACGGTATTCCAGGCAGAAGAATATGCCATTAAGGAATGTATTATGGAGAATTTAGATAGGAACTACAGAAATAGGAACATCTACATTCTATCTGACAGCCAAGCTGCACTTAAAGCGCTTGACAAACACCAGATCAACTCAAAATTGGTCTGGGATTACCATCAAACCCTCATGGAACTGGCCAAACATAACAGGGTACAACTGATATGGGTGCCAAGGCATGAGGGTATTGCTGGAAATGAAACAGCAGCTCAATTGGCTAAGATTGGAGCTGAACATACGTTCAGAGGACCAGCCTGTGGCATCTCTATAGGAGTTGCCAGAAAGGCAATCAGGAACTGGACAAATATGAAGCACAAGAAATACTGGGGATCCTTGACTGGACTAGGCAAGCAAAGGGACTCATACGAGGACCCTCTGCTAAAAGAGCGAAGGAACTGTTGAAGTTAAACAGGAACCAGCTACAATGGGTGGTGGGACTACTTACATGACACTGTCACCTTAAAGGACACCTCTTCAAACTGGGACTAAGTGATAGTCCCACTTGTGAGAGATGTCAAGAAGAAAATGAAACAGCCACCCATATCCTGTGTGAATGTGAGGCCTTAGCTTATTTAAGATTAATGGGTCAATACTTTATTGAACCAAGTGACCAAGCCCCAACATACAAAATCCTTGTACCTGATCCTTATAATTGGCCTGGGGCCCGTCTTCTTTGGCACAAACCGCAACACACCTTTCCCTGGGAATGTGTCAGTCTTTGCAAGTGCTGCAGCCTTCTCTTTGTCAACTGGCTGCAGTTTCTTGCTTCTGATTAATTCCAGCAGTGCTCTATCATTAATCTTTTGCTGAACTCTCTGCCTATAGAAAAGTAATTTGTTGCGCTGCTGTAACCCTTCAGTTATATAGAACTGTGTTTTCAATAGCACGAACACAAATTCTTCTAACAGCCAAACAACAACCTGAAACAAATACATCATGGAATGCAGAATTTTATGGTGAGTATTGAATTAAACTAAGTAACCTCATGATATAGAATTTTCATCACTGTGAATGAAAAAGCCTGCAATGGCATAACAACTGAGCCAGTTAAAAAAATGGTTCACAAATTCATAACCAGGTTTTCTAAGCACTGATTCAGTACACTTCATAGTAGGAATGGTCTGGAAAAAGGGATGCTCTTATCTCTTTGTACTTCAATTCTGTTCTAGGACATGATAGTAGGAAAGTCGATGAGAATGAGGAAGGACTGGAAGTAGACAGTCTGCTTTGTTTGCTACCTGCTTCATGATGGTTTCTTTCTAGGCTTACTCTTCAACCCTGAAGATGGAGATGATATATTCCTCCCAAAAGATAAAAATCTTCTCAACAACAAATTTAGCTAAAACAATTTTTTTTAAATAAATGGTTATTTGTTAAGATCACATATGTACTGATGATGTAACTGGATATGCAGAGGTCATTGACTAGCCTATGGATATCCTTCAGTGATGCAATGGGATGGCCAGAGTCATGGTTGCTTTTCCCATCTTATTTTACATTCTGCAGGCATTTCAGGAATAAAAGGAGGGAATATCTGAAAGACAATATTGATGAGCTTGCAATGAACAGTAAGAACAAGAACATTAGAGACCTGTATAGAGGAATAAATGACTTTAAGGTGGGTCACCAACTTAGATATAACTTTGTGAAGGATGACAATGGTGATCTGTTTGCAGATTCCCACAAACATTTTGAATAGGTGGAAGAACTACTTCTCTGTTATTGAATGTATGAGTCAGTGATGTTAGGCAGATACAAATACATACAGCTGAGCCATTAGGACCTAATCCTAGCCTTTCTAAGGTTGAAATGGCTATTGCAAAATTGAAAAGGTAGTGATCAAATTCCGGCAGAATTAATTCAAGCAGGAGGCGAAATATTACGTTCTAAGATCAATAAGTTAATTAATTCTATTTGGAATTAGGAAAAATTGCCTGATCAGTGGAAGGAGTCTTATTACTGTACTAGTTCACAATAAGAGTGATAAAAACTGACTGTAGCAATTACAGGGGGATATCACTGCTATCAACTTCTTACAAAATTATATCCAATATTCTTCTCTCAAGGTTAAGTCCATATATAGATGAAATTATTGGGGAGCATCAGTGTGAATTTTGACATAACACATCAACTACTGATCAGATCTTTTGCATTCATCAGATACTGCAGAAAAATTGGAAGTACAATGAGACAGTTTATCAGGTATTCGTAGACTTCGAGGAAGCCTATGATTCAGTTAGGAGGGAAGTAATGTGCAATGGGGTACCCATGAAACTAGTTAGGCTGATTAAAATGTGTAGTAAAGTCCATATAGGTAAACATTTGTCTGATAATTTTCCTATCCAGAATGGTCTAAAACAAGGAGATGCTTTATCACCACTGCTTTTCAACTTTGCTTTAGAATATGCCATTAGGAAGGTCCAGGAAAACCAGGGGGGACTGAAACTAAATTGGACACATCAGCTGCTGGTCTGTGCTGATGATGTGAATCTACTGGGTGACAATGTAGACTCCATAAAGAAAAATACAGAAACTTTAATTGATGTTAGTAAGGAGGCTGGTCTAGAACTAAACACAGAGAAAACTAAGTATATGTTGAATGCTGTCTCCTGGGATGTGGTGTTGTGTAGACCTTGTGTGAACGATATTTCGGAGCCACCTGCTCATGCTGGTTCCTCGCTCACGGGTTTTTCTACCCTGAAGATGGAGACGATACGTTCCTCCGAAACGAAGGTTCACACAAGATCTACATGGTGCCATATGCCAGAGGACAGCATTCTTCATAGTCACCACTGTGAAAACCTCAAATCTTACATATGTTGCTCTCTCATTACCAGAATGCAGGGCAAAATCATGACATAAAGGCATCTAACAGATTTTTGGAAGATGTGCCACAGTTCAGATACTTGGGAACAACCATAACAAATCAAAACCTGATTAAGGAGGAGAATAAGAAAGGACTGAATCTGGACAACGCTTGCTATCATTCAGTCCAGAACCTCTTGTCTTCTCGTCTGCTGTCTAAAAACATAAAAATTAGAATATACAAAACTATAATTCTGCCTGTGGTTCTGTATGGGTGTGAAACTTGGTCTCTGACATTAAGGGAGGAACATATACTGAGGGTGTTTTAGAACAGAGTGTTGAGGAGAATATGTGGACCAAAGAGAGATGAAGTGATGGGAGGTTGGAGAAAACTGCATAATGAGGAGCTTCGTAACTTGCACTTTTCTCCAAGTATAACTATAAAGACCAAGTCAAGGATAATGAGATGGGCAGGGCATGTAGCACAAATGGGAGATAAGAGCAATGCATATAGTATATTGTTGGGAAAGCCAGAAGGAAAGAGACCACTAGGGTAGGTGGGCGGACAATATTAAAATGGATCTTAGAGATATAGGATTGGATGGTATGGTATGGGTTGGAGTGATCTGGCTCAGGATAGGGACCAGTGGAGGGCTCTTGTGAACACAGTAATGAACATTCGGGTTCCATAAAATGCAGGGAAATTCTTGAGTAGCTGCATAATTGATAGCTTCTCAGCTCCATGAGTGAGTATATTACCCTTGTTTAAGATGTCTGTGTAACTACTATTTCTGATGGGTAAAAAGCGTGTTTTTATTACAACTGGGGACTCAGCAAGCATCTGCAGGAATGCATCTCACTTACAAGATGGAAATCAATAAAGAAACAGGGTTTGTGTTGTGGTATTTCATGATGGAGGAATATTTTCATGAACGTATCTCTTCCATAAAGAAGGATTATCCTGTACAAAATATGTACAAAATAACTTGGGTGATCATAAAGGCATTGCGAAAGAGAGCAAGAGTTACTGGCTCAGGGCAGAAACAGTAGGACTCTTGCAAACATGGCACTGACTGAAGACTGCTCTTCAGGAATGTGATGCCATCCTCCACCTATGATCTCACATGGCAATGATCCTTTGGGTTCTATGAAAGGTTGGGTATTTCTTGACTACCTGAGCAACTATTAGCTTCTCAACGATTCACTTCAAGGAGGTGGGCATTACTGATGATTTTACAATATGGTGAATTACTCATACCTTGGCAAAGATGTTCATCTTCAAAGCAGACTCAGTTACAGAATTAAGCCAGGGAACATGTGTGATTTTCAAATCAGACACTAGACTGCCTAGTCTGAAGTTCTGGAATTTCCCACTGTTCACCAATTTTCTGCAGAACCTTTTGAATACTCTTGCATTGTGGTTACAACCAAGAAGTCCAAGCGGCACCACCTTTCTTAGTACCTCTGTAACAAATCCTGACACCAGTCTTTGGTCCAGTGGCTGCATTATTCTCATGGCCTGCTGCTGCTGATGTTCAGTTTTGTTCTTGGACTGTCTCTTCAAGTGGTGTGTGAATATGTAGCTGTAAGGTGAAAGACGTCTGTGTCTCTTCATTAACTTCAGTAACAAAATCTTAAGATCTGAAAAATTATCTTTCATTCTTCTAGGTACTGACACATTCACACCAACATCTTTTAAAAGAATGTGATCAAGGACTACAGATGCACCTTCCTGGGTTGCAGGCACTTTCATAAGCATATGCCCACTTGGCCAATGCTCATGCGTAGCAAGGCCATACAACACTCGCTGATTAGAAAATACTTTTGTTGCCTTGTAGCCTACTCTGTTGTCAGTGCTAGTATTAGGCTTTATTTTCTTCTGGCTCCTTCTGGTCTTTCGCACTTGTCTGTCAACCTCGTCCATCTCTATAGAAAAGACACAAAACAGTAAAATTGTTTGACATAATGGGTAAAACAGCATTTGATGTCATACTTATCTAATTTTCATAATAAATGTTCTGATTTCAAGTACACTTTTGTCTGAAATATTTCTGATAAATATTGGAGAAATATGTGCAGATATGCATGGAAGTCTTAATGTGAAGTCACCGTTAAACATGTCTGATCTAAGTCAAAATTCAAGTCATACAGCAATTTTTCATTAAATTCTTCAATATTAAATTTCATGAAAATCCATCCAATATTTGCAAACATGCTTAAGAATTCCTGGAAAATGGCGCAAGTTCCTATCTTGGTGCCCTCTTCTTCAACACCTTGAAGCTTGTAAGAGGTCCAAAAAACGTGGTAATAAGTGCCATGTTTGTTCCCAAAATCCCAACACAGAAGTATTACATCATGTTGAAATGTCAATATCAGCTACACAATGCTTACAAATATGGAATTCTTACTCGATCATCAACAGACACATAGGTATTTAATGCAGACATAAAAGAGTACAACTGATATGGGTGCCAGTTAATGAGGGTATTGCAGGGAATGAAACCGTAGATCAGCTGGCAAGAACAGGATCTGAACAGTCATTCATAGGACCTGAACCAGCTTGCGGTATCTCAATTGGAGTTGCCAAAAGAAGCGATCAGGGACTGGACTGCTAGAAATCATAAAAAATAAATACTGGGAATCCATAACTGGACTCAAAACAGGAAAAAGGTTTTATAGCAAGACCCTCTGCCAGAAGAATGAAGGATCTGTCAAAATTAAACAGACATCAACTAAGATGGGTGGTAGGATTACTTACCAGACACTGCCACCTAAAAGGACACCTTTTCAAGTTGGGACTGGCAGATAGCCCAACTTGTGAAAGGTGCCTACAAGAAAACGAATCAGCCACACACATCCCGTGTGACTGTGAGGCCATAGCTTATTTAAGATTTTGTCACTTGAGTCAGTTTTTTATGGAACCAAGTGACTTTTATGATGCGCCCATAAGCAGGGTCCTATACTTTATTAAAAGTGTAGGATTAATAAATAGATCACTGAAGGTTGCAGTGCAGGGGCTGGCTTTTATGACCCACCCCTTACATACATGCATACATAGGTATTTAATGACTATATAAGAAATGGTTTCAAGCAGCGTTATTAATTACTATTTATTATGTTCAATATCTGGGAATAAATTTCAGGTAAATTGTCATGAGTTTCATTCTAGATGGCAGTAACCATATGATAATAAGTTAGGAATCATATGTAAAGTCTAGCATTTCTGGTACATTCACTCTGTCGCTGCATCTAGGTACATTAAAAATCTCTCGTTTAATTATTTCAGAAAGTGTAAAACCAATAGGAAATGTGTTTTGGCCATCTTCATGGCATGATGCTTAACTAAGCACAGACAGCTTTGTCCTTACTTCTTTCATAGAAATAATGTTTTATTTCTCTGCATGACTTTTTTTCAAAATAATTTCATCTCCAATGAATATTTGGCGAGTCACGGTCAGGATGAGCAAAAAAATATATACAGTCCTCACATAAAATATTCGTTATTACGTTCTGAATTTAACCAAAAACTTCAATGTTGATATGAAATTCAGTAAAACTCTCCAGTGGCAAATTTAATTAAGAGTTATTCAGTGGTTGTCGATTTTCACATACAGGCTGATGCAAACTGTTGAAACCATTTGTTGGGGAGGAGCCAAAAAAAAAAAAACAGACTGAACATTTAAGGTGATTATTTTGTTATTTGCTATTGTGTTTGGGTTAGGAAAACTGCATTCACAGAAAATTCCTTTAACAATAATTCAATGTGTGTTTATTTATGTGCAAACTTAACAGCACAGTGGCCAGTTACAAAGTTAGCACGAGTACACAGAAATACACAGAAAATTAAAGAGCAAAATACAAAATATAACAGTCTATACAATATCAATAAATTAGTAACAATTCCAAGAAAAGAAAAGAACAAAAAAAAAAAGTTAGCTTTAACAGGAGAGAAAAATAAAATAAGTACATTTCGAATGGTTATTCCATTATGTGATGAGAAAGGACAATACACATACACACACACACATAAAATTTAATAATAATAATAACCCAATTAATTCTTATTTATTCATGTGGCAGCTCAACATCCTAATTCAATTCACTTCAATTCATGTTTAATTACGTACAAATTAACAGCATAGAGGCCAATTAAAAGGTTACCATGAGTACATAGAATTACATAAAAATACTTAAAAAACAAATACAAAATTTGAGAGTCTACATAATGACAATAGATTAATAATAATGCCAAGAAAAATTAAAGTTAACGTTAACAGGAGAGAACAATAAAATAAGACCACATAGTAATATTAAGAGTATCATTAACAATTCCACGTTCAGTGTCAATGACAGAAACTGTTCCGATTGCAAATATGTATAATAATAATAATAATAATAATAATAATAATAATAATAATTGTAAATGTACTGGTAAGTTGTTTTTAAACTGCCTGTTATAACGAAAAACATACAATTGGCATCTGCAGCGGTCAATTCTAATTTCAAATGTACAGTGTAGGAAATGCAGTAAAAGTCCCTCACAACCAATGAATTAATGTGGTTGTTTGAGAAGGAAATATTCAAACAATACTTACTGGATTCGATGGTTTCCTACCGTCCTTAGGAACCGACACTGTTCTTACCGTTCTTACTATAGGGGAAATATACGATGTGTAATCGGAAGTATTTAGGTCAACAAAATCGTCTAATTTTCTATTGTGAACTTCTGGACATATAATTCAATTAGATTGTTTACTTCGATAGCTCCCAAAAATCTAATCATTCGATATTTCTCATTCGATTATGCAATTCTCTAAACAAACGTTGTCCGTAAATGCGCGGGAATGAGTGAATTTGACATAGTACTGAAATCGGACAAGAAATCACGTTTTCATTTTAAACACGATGGCAAGTACAGAACAAGAAACCAAAGGCTCAGTTACACTGAAGGGATCATCTGATCTTGTTAAGGAATATTTAGGCATGTATAATAACTTTAAAAATATAGAAACTATGTTTTGAAGTGACTTTATGATCCTAACCTACTACATGCCATATGGTTGACTTAGGTGTTTATTTATGATACTGTAAAACTTGCTGTGAGATAATTATTAGGAATTTCTTGTGTATGTAAGAATTAAATGTATCACGTGTCTTGTGCATTTTCTAGTGTAAAGGACATTGGAATGCATGTAAACTATAAATCTTGAATAATGCCCCAGTGTTAATATCAAATTAATTATTTCATTTAAGATTATGGAATCAACAGTATTCTTTATCAGCGGGGCATTTATCCTGCAGAAACGTTTGTGCCAGCCGAACATTTTGGAATCACAATGTACATGTCAACTGATGAAAAAATTAAGTCATTTCTAAAATCTGTTCTGGAACAAATTCGAGGTTAGTATTTCTTATGTGACAGTTTTTGCAGTCATCCTACAGCAGACTTATAGTTAAACCTCAATTAAATTTTGTTATTTTAGACTGGCTTTGTCAAAAGAAAATGCAGAAGGTATCACTTATAATATCAAATTCAGCTACAAAGGAGGTGCTGGAACGATGGGATTTCAAAGTCCAGTATGAAGGTGATGGAAATGCTACAGAAAGTGGAAAAACTGTTGGAAACAAGGACTTTACACTTATCCAGAAAGAAATACGCAGTGTTTTGAGGCAGATCTCAGGAACTGTAAGCTTTCTACCATTACTGGACTGTTTGTGTAAGTATGAGGCCTGATACATAAGAGGCAGTGTCTGTAAAACTTTTAAACCGAAGATATTTTGATTCATCAATGGCAGTTCACCAATTTCCTCCCACCACTTCCATTACTTTCATCAATATACTTGTATATTTAGTGGGTATGGAATGGAATGGGGGCACGTGGTAGCATAGTGGTTAAGGCACTATGCTACAAGTAGGAAGGTCGTGGGTTCATTGGATTTTTTTCAATTGACCTAATCCTTCCCGGCCACACCATGGCCCTGGGGTTCACTCAGCCTCTAACAGAAATGAGTACCTGGAATTAAATAATTTTCCTGGAGAGTAAAGTGCGGCCGGTGCGTAAGGCTGACAACCTTACCGCCATCTTTGAGCAGTTTTTTCTAGATAATGTGGGACCCTCAGCGTCTCACATCCCTATGGGCCTTCATGGCCTGTTACAGGAATAGCTGTACTTTTACTTTATGGAATGGACTGGACAGAATATTTCTCTCTGCAGTAGTGTTTTGGCTTTAAATTATAGTTTTGATTATATATATGTAATGTATAAGATTTTTATGAGTATGACATCAGGTACTGTTTCTGCACCATTTTATACAGAGATAAATATGACCAAAATACTTTGTATTAATATGCAGTGAATGCTGTTTATGACTGGTACGAAGTGTTTCCTTTCTAATTAAATTAAATAATAATAGAGTGTGCATAAGCACAATTAAAAAGTAGGTTTACACAAATGAAGTCACTGATTACAGTTTAAACAGAATGTGGAGAGTCATTCCATTGTTGCTTAAAAGCAGAGTTTGCTAGTGTTTATTCTTGTCGTTATTTCACTGATGATCTTAATTAGTTTGTATTACAGTGTGAAATGATGTTAAGCTTGCGAGAAGTAATAACAATTAAAACTGTAGTTATTAATACCCATACTCAGGATTATGTAAATATTACTGACTCCATCTCCATGGAGCAGAATCCGTTTTGGGAAGCTGATAGTCATTTAAGATTTGAGGTTTTCATGGCCTTCCTAATAGTCATTCAGCTTACCAAGAAATTCCCCAGCACCCTTCATGGAAACTGAAGGTTCATTATTATTTTTGCAAAAGTCTGCGTATATATCATAAAAATATTTGTTTGTATAAAACTAACCTAGCCAAATTTAACATTACAACCAACATGATAGGGCCTGAAGTTGATGGTCCCTCATTTACTGATGGGCTAGCTACTGCATAGTGACTGACTGGTTGCTATGAAATCTGCTGCTTGGTATTTTCATGAAATATTCTTCTGTTCAGAATGGGGTCTTGAAGTGCCAAACTTCTGTTTTTAAGCATGCTTTCAATTTTGAGAAAACAGTTCAAGGAACACAGCAAAGATGCAGCATTAAAATGATAAAAAATTAAATAAAACTGTTGGCATTTCTTGTTGTAGTGAATAAGGATTGCTCATAAATACTCCAGCTCACATTGTGCCATGTAAATAGGAGCCAAACAGACTTAAATCTCATGGTTTCATGTTTCTTTTTGTAATCTTGTTGTATTGAATATTTCCCAAATATTTTATGTTGTTGGCTTATGCAGCACTATAAAGCCATGATATTGTAACGTGTTTCGTTACTGAAGACGCCGTAGAGATGGTTAATTGGTTTATTTAACAATCTACAAGTAACGGCTACAATTACTTATCACACAGTTGCGGGGTTTCACAGTTTATAACCCTAATCGCATTAATCTGTTACCACTGTTGCGGGGTTTCACGATTTATAACCCTATGCGCAAATCAGCTCACTCTGCCTTCAGTAGTCTACACGTTTACAGTAGGGGAGCTATGTATCACTGTATCACACACTCCCAATTACACAATCACACACACGTCCGGATCTTCTTTCCGCGACGGCTGCTATACTCCAACAGTAGTCAGCTGACTGGAGAACTGTTGATAACACACTCGGCGACTATTACGTTACAACTCGGCGATGCCCACATTCCAACTCTGCTGTAACCACATAACAACTGACTGGTAGCTGCTGTGCGGTTCCCTTATATATCCGCAGTGGTGCCTGTTGCAGGCCACGTCACAGTGGGAAGCGGTTCCGCGTTACCGTGGCGTCACCGCGCGTGGCGCGGGGGCTACCAGGATGCGGGGGCTCGGCTATCTTCGGCTCCGCTCGTGACGTCACCGCGGGGAGAGTGGCGGGGGGATGATTCGCCTATTACGCGAGCGCTACTTTACCGCTACGTTCCGCTGGGGAGGTAGGGGTCAACATGTCACAATATTTTCAGCTAAACTTTCGGTAACTTAATCTTCATAATGAACGCTTATGATAATGTTACATACGAAAATCGTTCTGTGGATGTATTTCATAAATGAACCATGCATTGCTATCTTAGCTATTGATAACACAGTGGCCTGTTGTCAGTAGGATGCAGAAGCTGGTGGCCAACAGGAGAGCAGAGAAACTGCTAGGCATGCTGTGGTAACATTTGTGCATTGTTGATTTCTCTAATTATTAAAATTGAGCTACTTACCTGAGGCATATAGTGTTATGGGACAGGAAGTGGTAGGAACTGAGAAAGGAGTGGGGTAATCTGATGTCAATCGTGATTTTATAAGGTATGGTAATTAACTGTTAATTGTAACATTTCACTGAACCATCTACATTTTTCTTTCACACATTTAACATCCACTATGCAACAGAGCTTCTTTCAAAGATGGGTAAGAATCAGAATGTATATTGAATGGTTCTTTGTTATTAAACAAGCAGCTATTGAAGACACCATTCCATATAGATTTTTACTTGGGAGGTACTCAGTGTAATCTCACCTATGACATGAGCTATCCTGAAAAGGTCTGTCTTCTGGAATATAATGCTGCATAGTCTGGTGAAAATCAACCAGTGTTTTGGAGGAATGTATTGCCTCCATCTTGGTTGAAGAGTAAGCCAAGGGAGCAGTCAGCAAGAAGCAAAGAGAACAGCCTACTCTGTCAGAATGCATTTAACCCATACAAGTCAGAATTAAATTTACTTGACAACCTTTTTAGATGGAAAATGAGTACAGATAAATGAACAGACATGACCTCCCATTATGCATTCATTTTATGCACCTAATGCAAAGAATGGATACAAATTATTATTTTATAGTGTTAAGAAATAATTTATTATTGTGTTAGGATTCTTTTATTCAATTTATTTGTTTCTTGTTTCTATAGGCACATTTGACCTTCAGGTCTACACAGTCACTGACTGTGAGGTACCACAGGAATGGGATGAAACACAACCATGCTTCATTGCAAATGCACAAGAAATGCCTCTTCGAACTTTCTCCACATCCCTTCATAGAGTGGAAACACATGTAAGTTACAAGGCTGAATGAACTGGAATGGTGTACGAATGCAGTCATTGTAAGAATCTGTTCTATTTATGTGTACATGAATTCATGGATAAGTCCAGTAATAATCTATCTGAGGACAGATTGTGTTTGTATTAACGAATTTTTCAATAAAAGTGTATTTTCATATTGTTTGTTTATCTGTTTCTTGAAGTCTGCCTCCTTCCCTCCTCCAAGCCTTATCTTGCTGGTCATACTTTGAGTAATAGTTTTATTCATTCCATCTACTCAGGCTATTTGTGATTCAATAAACTAAACAAATCATCAAACTACAAGTTAAAAACTGTAACTTCCCACAAGTATTGATTTCTTCAATGATGTTTGAAGTTCAAGTATTGCAATGAATCTAGTGCTCTGAAGTTAGATACTAGCATTTATTCCATTACAGGTTTAAGGTTTGTAATGCCACAACTTGGGGGGCCTAATCCTTCCAGCTGCACTATGTACCAGGAATATTCTTGGGGTTAAAGAGCGGCTGGTGTGTAGGGCTGGCAACCTTGCCACCATATGTGAGCTGATGGTCTAGAAAATGTGGGAGTCTCAACATTTCACAATCCTATGGGCCTCCACGGCCTGTTACAGGGATACCTTTACTTACTTTTATGCCACAACTTGGTCTCCAGGGCACATCACATGGAGGTAAGTGAAGTTGGCATATAGATAGGAAGGTTCTATATCATACATTCAACATTCCTCTCCTTTCTGCTCAGTAAGTTCAGAATTAAAATTCTACTCTTGTGAACTGTGACACTAGTAGTCCTGTTCATGGATACAGATATTCTATAGGGGTATGCTGCCTCCATCATCTGGGTTGAAGGCAATGGGGTGAGTAGTATGCACTTAGGCTACAGAGGCAAGTTATAAGGAAGGTTAGCAACTGACCATTTAAGCGCCAACATCTGGTACAGGACAGTGACCTCTGAGTCATACTTCGGGTATAAATACAACATACAGACACATCAGTCATCACATCCTTCTGATGTTGGAAAAATAAACAAGTCTCCAGTATGTTGGGTAACAACTCCATCATCACAAGGCTGATTGTCCAAGAAGACTTCATTAAATACAATTGCAGTTAAGCTACAGATCATAAAATCAAAGTGGACCCTTGTTTGATTAGGTTTGCCATAACTACTATCTCCCTTCACATAGTGGCAACATTTACAAATTCATTTAGACATTTTCTGGTGGAAAATAGAAAGACATAACAGTCACATGGATCATCTTGAGAGATGATGGCATTAAAGTATACTTGTCATCTGTTCTTTCAGAGGAGCTGACCATGATACTTCTCAGTATGTGGTGGTCACAAAAGTTAGGAACAGTCTGTCAGTAAGTAAACAAGATGTGGGAATGTTTGATATGGAGAAATTCAGTCTCTAATAGTTCTAATAGATGCTAGTAAGGAGATTGGCCTAGAGGGATGAAATATGAGGCTGGAGAAAATTGCATAATAAGGAACTTTAAATTAACATGTAGTACACATGGGAGAGAAAGAAATACAAACTTTTTGTAGGAAAACAAGAAACAAAGAGACCAGTAGGAGATGTGGGTGTAGATTGGAGGAAAATATTAACTTTAAATGCCGGACTTTTGAAATGGTGGTAAGCTTGAGCTGGCCGGAGTTTATTTAAATGCCCGTTGCTACTCTGCGTTTAAATGTCTGTTCCTCTTAGGGCACTTAAACAATTTTAAGCATTGTTTTAAAATACTGTATCTAACTCAGTTTTTATGATAAATGGATGGAATTAACTTTGCTTGTATGTATCAGCAAAGAACATAGTGTTGCATATTATAACGGAAGATTTGAAAATTTTTATACAAAGAGTTATACTCTATTTTCAGTTTTTTTTTCTTTTAATTTTGATGCGTACTGCAAAAATGGTTTCCCAGTTCTTCACAGAGTTGTTCTGCATTATAAATTCATTTCTGTTTGTAACACTTGACAAATTTTAGCAGTCCCTGGTGTCATAAAACTGATGGAAGCAATAAAATCATCTGCTAGCACTGCTTACACTCTTCGGATTTTCAAATCTTTTGACTAAAGGACAGAAGAATGAAAGAATGGCTATTCAAGAGAAAGCTAGAGGGGTACCTGTTATGCCGCGGTGGCAGGGGGCGTGAAGGTATCCCACCGCTGCCACCACTGTTATGGCGTGAAGGGGGGGGGGCGTGGAGATACCTCCACCGCTTCCGCCACTGTACCTCTCTCTAGCTGTCGTTCTACACTTATCTCCTGCCGTGATGACGGAGGGCGAGGAAATATCCCTCTCCGTCACCCTGTTTAGTATGCTGCCACCATCTTGGTAATTCAAGAAATCTCGAACTTATCTTAGCTTGCATTACTGTCTGGGGTTAACCGTAATTCGCCGAAGCTTTGGGAAGTCCTGGAGTCGTTGAGGAAGGGGGTAACACTGTGGATGTGTGTGGTTGAATTAAACTCGTACACATTCCAAGCCTATTCTATTTACCTACGTCTTTAAATACACTATATACACACTGTGCCGACGTTTGTCGGTTCGTCTTACATTGGGAATAATCCTGCAGTGTCTCATCAAGTCCACCTCCTGTCACCCTGCTGTCGGTATTCTATGCTTGGAATCACTGAATGAACCCAGCCCATCTGATTAGCCTATCNCCCCAAAAAAACTACATCTACCCGTACGTAACCCTTGCTCCATCACAGTACCTTCTTCAGTGCTAAGACCTTCAGTTATAGCTGCAAGAGATTATTGCCCTTTCTGGGGTTGTGAACAGACAGTTGCATCGTGGCTGAGATACAGAGTGTGATTTGTTTTCTGTGCATTCATAGTGAAATCAAATACTGTATTTTCATTTCAGCCTATATATACATCAAGCAGATAACAACAAAAAAGGTATGTACATCGAATTTTACTATATATCTTTAACACATTAATCTGCAGAAACTGCAATAAAAATACTGGCTCATGGATGAGTTTGGGCATAACTCACACGTATATATTTATTTTTGCTCTTGTTCACTTAGGTATCATTTTAATTCCTCTATTGTGGTTTTACTGAAATCTGTCTGGTAATTACTACATTTAAAAATAAATATTTAGGACTGTGCATGCGCTTCTACCAGCAGAGTTTAAATGCCTGACTGGCCAAAATGGGACGACGACCATACTCATCACTGGCCCAATCGGGGAATTTCACACGTTAAAGGTGAAAATGGTTCTTACAGAGATAGGGTGGGGGTTGGGGTTGTGCACTCAACTCATCTGACACACGACAGGGACCTGTGCTCGACTCTTGTGAACATGGTAAAGAACCTTCAGGTTCCATCCTGGGAATTTTGTGCGTGTTCATTTCTCATGAATTCTGCTCATCAATTGGGTAATTGGGAGTGGAAATGCCACTCTGAACCATTTAGAACGAAATTAATAGTGCAAGGGTTCAAGTGGAGCAGAACCCCGCGCACCTCAAACTATTACGGTTTATTTGAAAAATATATGTTTGTATATTTGGAAATGAGATTAATGTAAAAATAATATTTCACGTGAAATAAATTCTATAGATTAATGTCAGAGGAAGCACGAACAGGCATGCTGATTCATCGGAAAAATTAGTATGCGCTTCGCGGCAAGCGGCGCTGCGGCCGCCGTGAAGCGCAGAGCCTTGAACTCGTGAACTAAGTAAATCATCCCTGTATATTTCGTCTTTCCAAATCCCCTTCAAACACTTCTTATTTATATTATTTTCTTAAAACTAATCAATAAGGCTTACAGAGCTAGTTTGAAATGTCATTGTTTTTATGTTTTGTATCTCATACCAAAGTCATATCCCTTTTATATACGCGGCCTTTAATCTGTTTTGCTATTTCCGTCAGCAATCATTAGGATTAGAAGGACGCTGCAGACAAAACGGTTGTAAAAGTAATCAGAAGGATTTCGATATTCCGTTTAGTCGTTTCGTACTGGTTATATGAAGTAGAGACCTTGCATTGCAGCTACATAGCAACACTTCCTACTCGTCTGAACGGCCTGAACTTATCACAACTATACGCACTGTTAGCAAATATGAGTACGCGAGGCAGCAACTCGCTCTTCGCGCTGAAGCGAACCGTCAGTTAGTGACGAGCAAATGCCGTGAGTGGTTGAGGCATAATAAAACGACAATGTGCGTTCCAGCCGCCAGCCAGCTGACAGCTAGGAGGTGAGCCTGCAAATATCGGAATGCTGCTGTGCGCTGTTATTGCTAACAAATATGTGTATACACATTTCAGAACGTTGACCCTTAAACCTACGCAACTGTATGTAAAGCAAGTCAGATAGAACCATCCTCATTGATAGCTGTACAGACTTCGACTGACCGAATTAAACATTTGAACAGAAACTTTCAAGACGTAAAAGTTTGTGACGATGGTATATTAACACAATTCTTGTATTTTGGGACATTACCCGTCTCCTTGTTTTTTTTTTAATTTAAAACATGTTTCGGAGATTGGATTCTGTTTCCTTCTTCAGGTAAACACAAAAGTTTTCAGATAACTTCCAGGTCCTTTGGTCCTCGATCCTAAGGTGACGAGGAAGGATAACATGTGATGTAGGTAACGGATCGTGTTAACTTACTGCGTAGAGGTTGACAGGGTACAAGGTGGAAGCCAAGGGGTCTGTACAGGTCCGGTTGCAGAACAGAACCTGAAACCTTCAGCACCCATTATGGCTGGTTAGGCCGATTCATTAATTTCTTCTGTAATCGCTTATTATTTCCTTTATTAATCGGCTAAGATGCATGGTCATACGTCATTAAATCGTTAAATTTAAGAATGACAATTTCAGCTTCACACATTGTATGCAGCTCCTTTGATAACTTCCATGTTCAATGTACCAATTTGTGTGTTTCTTATTGTTCACTATTTTTATAACTTGTAGGCCTTCCTCCGAACTTATTAAAAATGGAAGCTCTCCCTATCGGTTTCATCCCCTACCCCACACACAAGGCATAAATTGTGTTTTGGCACACTGGACTAAGGAAAATTTCTTGAGTTATAGAAAAAGTAGGCTAAATCCAGTGGTGTCAGTCACCCGAAGAGCCGTCACCGCTTTCGTAGAACCAGTTATGACACACTGGTCAACCAGTTCCTAAGAAGCATTTAAAAGCTGAAATATAAATCGAAATTTCAATATACTGAATAGATAAATTACCGACACACACACACACAAGGAATATGCAAGCATTAAGGTTTTCAGGGCAGTAACTGATCACATTGCGGTCTTCTGGGAAATTTTGCAATTTTTTTTATTAGTCACTGAATTTGTTATTGAAGGGAAACTTCTGTTTTGAAGACCATCAGATGTCAATTAAAGCGGTCACCAAAGAAGTTTATACTGGATGTCGCAATGCAATGGCTAATGTCCCTTCTTAGTATTCGGGAGTTCGGGTCCGAATCTCGGACCGGAAGCAGGTCAGCTTGAGTGTTATCGTGGTTTTCCTCAGTTAAACCAGGCAAATGTAAAAGGAATACATAAAATAGGCTACATGCACTTCTCTCCACATTCGTTCACGACCCATCCTACTGTTTGACTCATACAGTTAAAAAACGGCCCTTGAAGAAACCAATAATCTATAAATGAATTCTCAGAAAAGCTCATGATACAAATGTAGTTACGTGATATAAAATAATCTTATTAACGGATATAACTTTTATTTTAATTGCTTTGTGTCATACATTCAAGGAAAAAGTGTCTATCCAGTGTACCGAACAAGTTTGTTTAACGGAAACGCGAGGAGGTTTCAGTCTTCTCCGAGTTCAACATTCATGACTGACATTTCTTGGCATTTCCTTCAGCAGTTTCGATATAATACACTGTAACAGACTACGACTGCCTACTTTAAAATCGTTACCTATTAATGATTATAATCATTAATAGGTAACGATTTTAAAGTAGAGAAATAATTATTTCTCTCATCTCATTTGAAACTACACAGCCTCGTCTGTTAAAGCATTGTCGTTAAATAACCATAGAATTAACAGTCTGTTAAGTAAGATTTGAGGCTTTCACGGCGGTGACTATGAAGAAAGCAGTCTTCTGGGATTTGGCACCGTGTATATGTGGTGTTAACCGACGTTTCGGAGGAACGTATCGCCTCCATCTTCAGGGTAGAAGAAAAAGTATAAGAAATCTGCAAGCGACAAGACCGTGAGAACGGTAACGTCGGTTAACACCACATATACACGGTGCCAAATCCCAGAAGACTGCTTTCTTCACAGTCTGTTAAGTGTTTGTATATTTACTGTGAAGTCTAAAATTTGTGACGGAGGTGTATTTCCTTAAGTGACACATATTTTGGACATTTTAAATCGCCTAATTTTTATTTAAAAACACGAAGATTCGGAAAATGGGTCTGTTTCCATCTATCTATGGCGCAGAAGCCCTTTATTGGGCCTTGGCCTCTTTTCAGTTTCTTAAGTCTGTACACGGTCGGCAGGGCTCCTTGGACGGGGGATCAGATCGTCGCAAGGTCGCTACCCTTGCACAGGACAACACAAACACAGAATAAACACACACACAGACATCCATGCCTTGAGAGGGACTCGAACCCACGGTCCCATCTTTCGAGCGGGCGAAGACTGTTCATGCCTTAGACCCTGTGATCGGCGGTTCAGCTTCCACCATTAAATAAAAAAATATGAAAGGATAGAGATTAACTGAAGGGGTTTACATAGTGGTAACCTCTTCCGGCTGTCTTAACTCAGGTCCTCGTATTTCGTGATTTTCATGAGTCTCCTCCCCCGCCCCAGGAAAACGCCGGGATAATATCTCATTCAGGCCACGACCGCTTCCTTCCAAATGCTTTCCAAGTCAACATTCATATGTGACCATACCATTCGACGCTATATGGCCTAACTAATGGCAGTGTCATGAAGCAACCCGCCAGGAAGATGGAGATTTGGGCCTAACAGAGTAGGTTTCATACATTTACCTGACGACGGAAGCAGATCCAGTTTACGAAACGTTGTGTATGGGTGTGTGTTTCTTTACCAAAGTGGAGACGATGGCATACGTATGTCCCACATACGAGTCGGCTTAATTCGTGCTTCTGGTTGGTTGGGTCAATAAACGAGCACTAACACACCATCACCTGTAAAGTCTGTTTAGTGCTATAACAAGATACACATTTCCACTTCCGTTCAGTATTGAGCTATGAGTCTAATATAGTACATAAATATTGTAGTTTGTGTGTTGAAGAAGCATCAGTCCTATACATTTAATTTTCCTCTAATATCCATTTTTTTTTTTTGGTAGCATGTCATAAATACATATGACGTCAGCCACACGTAGTCATTTGAGTTATACAACATCTTGCGTAATAACGCAAACGCGAGAATGGTTACTTGACAGTCAAAACGCATCTTGGGAAACTCCGTTTGCATTCTGTGACGTCACTCCTGTATTTTAATTAAAAGAAAACTTGATAAAAGAGGTAAAATTGTCCCTGTAACAGGCCGTGGAGTCGCATAGAGTTGTGGGATGTCGAGGCTTCCACAATTTCTAAACAGTACGATCACAGATGGTCGTGAGGTTGTCAGCGTTAAGCGTCGGCCGCCCTTTAGCCCCAGAAAGATTCCTGATACTCATTTCTGTTAGAGACTGAGTCGACCCAAGGGCCATAATGCCCCTGGAAGGATTATGTCAACTGAAAAATTCAGTGACCTCATCGGGAATCGAACCCGTGACAGTCCGGCTTATAGCATAGTGCCTCAACAAACTACGCTACCGAATGTCACCTGAAGGGATACGTTTTAAATTTGGATTACCCAACAGTCCCACTTGTGGAAGGAGCCTGGGAAACAAGAAACAGCCCCATATATCCTGTGTGATTGCGCTGCTATGACTTACTAGGTGACTACCCAGACACCCGTATAAGTAAGGTACTGAACTTTGCTCGAAGTGTGGGATTGATGGGGGATGATCAGATGATCGCTGATGGTCGCGCTGTATGGGCTGGTGTGATCCACCCCATACTTATTATTTCATGTGGCTTGCACGCAGTAACGTAGTTGGTTGAGGCACTGTGCTACAAGCCGGAAGGTCGCGGGTCCAAGTCCCGATGAGGTCATTGGATTTTTTCAATTGACTTAATCCTTCCAGCCGCACTATGGCCCTGGGGTCGACTCGGCCTCTAACGGAAATGAGTACCAAGAATATTCCAAGGGCGGCCGGCGCGTAGGGCTGACAAACTTGCCGCCATCTATGAGCCGATTGTCTAGAAAATGTGGGAACCTCTACGTCTCACAACGCTATGGGCCTCCACGGCCCGTTACAGGGATACCTTTACTTACTTATGGCTTGACCTGCTCAGGTTAGAAGCCAAACGAAAGAGAAGCAGAATATTTCAGTTCATCATCGTTGGAAATCTCCTCTTCCAGCGGATATTTGCATTGGGTGTGAATATGAAATTGTCACTTGAGGAAGGTGCGAAGGGTTCAGGGACGCATTTAAGGGGGAGCGACCGAGGCGGTCACCCGCGGGGCCTTCACAAAACAGACATAGAATCCACATATTATGTTGAAACATTTAGGTCTCTAAAATCAAGAAAATTATTTTGTTTTTAGTTAGTTAGTGTTATAAGAAATAAGGGCAACAAAATGGTAACTATCGTAGTCTTGAATTTATTGTTACTGATAAGGGCCTCCGCATTTCGATTGCTTCGGGGCGTCCGCATCAGTAAATTCGGTCCTGGAACCACAGGGCAAGTGTTAAGAGCGTCCAGTATTTCGAACGTGAAATGCGAGTATGTATGGTGTTAGATATGCCTTTTGCGTGCAATTCATGAAGGTGACTCAGTGTCCAATGTTTTGAACGTGAAATGCGAGTATGCCTTTTGTGTGTAATTCATGAAGGTGACTGAGTGTCCAGTATTTCGAACGTGAAATGCGAGTATGTATGGTGTTAGATACGAGCATGCCTTTTGCGTGTAATTCATGAAGGTGACTGAGTGTCCAGTGTTTTGAATGTGAAATGCAAGTATGCCTTTTGCGTGTAATTCATGGAGGTGACTGAGTGTCCAATGTTTTGATCGTGAAATGCGAGCGTGTATGGTGTTAGATATGCCTTTTGCGTGCAATTCATGAAGGTCACTTTATCTAGTAAGCAAAGAGGACAACCGCTCAGGGCCTCATGATTGTAGAGCCCCCCCCCCTTACATCA